CAGGGGAATCCAGGCCCAAAGCTACCCAACTGGGCAAGTTTTTAACCAATTATGTTGAATTAATATTTAAAAACTAGTATTTCTTTAGTACACTTGCATCACATTATAATGTCCTTATTAAGCCGGATAGTCATAGCCGCTGGGCCAAAATTTGTGACCCCTTGCATTAGGCCAAGTATTCAAAAAAAGTTTCCTGCTGAAAAAGCACGTTATTTGGCATGAATTGTAATTCACGGAATGGCTTTTCTTTTGCTCTGCCGTTAGATCTCGCAGTCGCATGCGATGGCAGCTAAGAGCAGGGTTAATTGCGTATCCTCAGAGCAAGGAAGCACATTTTGACAAGGACTGTCCCCTTAATTGAATGTTTTCCCCCAGTTAACTGTGCTTTTCAGATCTTTGTCACTTTTTTCCCCTCTGTGGATACATAGTTTCAGGGAGTGTCACTGTACACGACCTCTGCGATATCAGTGTAAAGCAGATGTTAATTTTGCGTGAAATGGTAATGTCGTCGTGTCACTTCCAAAAGGGACGAAATTTCTGTTTGAGAAAAATAACATCAGGTTGGATGTGTTGCAAATTAAGTTATGTTTTAAAAGGGCCTGGGGAATTTCCCACGAGCCTTCATCTAGGGAACTCCAGCCCAGTCACCCTCCCCACACTCATGGAGCTGTTGACAAAATGCGTTTAGCTGAGTGTCGGGGGGGGGGCAGCCATACTAGAGTTAGTTTTTTTTTCCGAACACATATATTAGCAAGGGTGGAGTGGGACTGTCTTTCCGCCCTGGAGTGGAGTGTTGACACTCCTAAATAAGGTTATTCTAGTTTCAGAAAATTCCCTCACCTACTGCTACTGAAGTACAGGCTACAACGTTTCTCCATTCTAAATAAAGCTGAGATTTCTGTGCATTTCCCTGCTTTCTCCTCCAGTGTCTTTTCTCATCTTATCCTCGCATCCTTGCGGTTTAGCACCACCATTCTCCGTTTCCCCCCCCCCTAGTTTGCCATTCTTTGCAAAATGCACTTAGTTGGGATGCGTGGATCGATATTGAAATATCGATTCTTCTGATCTGAATGGTTTCATTTTGGAAATCGATTCTAACGTAAAAGTATCAATTTTGGTACTTTAAATGTTCAAATTATTGGGATCAGGACATGAACTACTAGTGCATTGGGCCGCCCATAAGGGGAGAGCAAGGGGGAGGGGTCCAGATACTTGGAAACTGCAATGATCACATCCATCCCCCACCCCCCCGACTTGATTTGGCAAATTACATTGTTATGTAATTGTTAGGGTTGGATCATAATTGAGTATTGATATTGAGTTCACTGTTAGTGATACCAACCTTGGATCAAATAAAATTTGCACTGAAAAGAAAATTGGTGATATCGCCCAACCATATAGGGGGGTTGCCAGCTCTCACGCATCTGGCGTGATACTCACGCTTTCAGACTCTCACACAATCTTACGGCAAATCTATATTATTCCATTATAATCCTAAAATTAGCTACATGAAAAGTGTTGGGGTAGAACTGTCACTTACATGTAAATGTGTGTGGCGACCCTGCCTATAGGTTAGCTTCATGTCCAGCAGATCTGCAGCATTTTTGTTTGTTTATTTTTATTTTTGGCGCTGCTACCCCCTTTACAATGGATACATGCATGTAAAGCTAAGTCATACCTCTTGGGGAGGGACTGTCTGTTCACTGATTTACTACAAGCATCTACATTTATTGATGGGAATTTGGAAGGGTGTGCAAAGTGGCTCAGCCAGCCCAGCGGTGACATCGGCCCACCGGGAATCGTGTCAGTGCTTCCGATGGCCAATCAGCTCCTATATATTGCTACATTTCCTCTTTTGTAATTGAACTCTTAGGATTGCCTGGCCAGATGATCGGGTTCTGGCATCTTGAAAACCAGGCGTGCCAAATACTTGACTAATGTCTCTTGCATTAATGATGCATTTTCCACAGCGACGAGCAGTCAGCAATACCTTGAAAAACCCAAGGTGGGAACTGACCAGCCTCTTGTAAAAGGATTCTGGGTAATGGCTGGCCACTTGGTACACAAGGCTTCTTTCTTTTATAAGCTAAGTGGGGAGGATGACAGCCCTTGCATTTTTCATCAGACTTTGACAGACAGACAGACGAACACAAATAGCGGAACCTTGCGTTCAAGTTTTAGCAAGGTGTTAAGGGCTCTATGGCATTGATTCTCTGGTCTGTATTAAACTGTCTTTCGGTCTGGATAGGAAATTACAGGACAAATCGTATCATGTATTGGTTCAAAACAGCACACAGCATTTTATTCTTCAATTCAGGATGATTCTGTAAAATATGGGATGGTTGACAACTCTACTCTGGTGCCAAAAGTAGCTGGCAGAAGGGAAGCCGGCCTTTGTGACCATTTCATGTAAATGAACCAGCCTGATAGTTTAATTGCATTTTGGAAAAATTTGTTTAGGGAAACGGGTGATTTCAGATGATAATGTGGCTTTAAAATGGCAACACTGGAGGCCTTTGGCTAACATATGCAAAACTATTTTATCAGTTGATGGTGCACTGTTCCCTTTTTTATTTATTGTTAACTTGATTGTCTGAAAGCTTTGTATCATCAGAGTGAGGCTATGAATAGAAAGTGAAAGAATACCCTTCTTTATTGTGAGGTAAAAGTCCTTAGTCTGGTTTAATTCACTTGTCAACAGAAAGAAAGTCCATAGAGTAATTCCTCTTCTGACCATGTACATACACATCTCTTGTGGCTCATAATGAAGTTGTAATGTTGGTCAATTAACTTTCTTTTCCTTTTGCAAATTTATTTATTTTTTTTGGGGGGGGGGGGTGTATTTACCCTTGTGACACCCAGTTAATGATTTGTTGATGAAGTAGCTTCAAAATTAAATATCAACCCATTAGATGAACCATATGGTAACCCTGGTAACGTTATGGTACAAGCTGTTTTCTCAATGGCACCCAAGTCTGCATTTCCTGTGGTGAACACAGGCAAGACTTCACGGGGTATTTCTTTGGATCCTTATGTATTCCTGGCAGAATTTGGTTGGCACCATTTTCTGACGCTCTGGTGATGATAGTTGAATACAGGAACATGTTTAAAAATTAAACAAAAAAAGATTTCTTAGTGGAAGACCTGGGTTTGTGTTGGTTGTTTTTAGGTTTTTTTTAGGATAATCTCTGGTGTTGCGATACACGGATATTTAAACACCTTTCATCAAGTGTAGAAACTGATCCCCAAAACTGTGCCAACCCTAGATCTGAAGATAACTATCTGTATTAAGTTCAGTGGAGGACATTTTGTTGTTCTGGGTTTTATCAAGATGCTACTTTAATTCCACAGATTCCTTGGTGCGGTGTTGCAGTATGATATTACATGATTATTCTGTATTTACAATGGTAGCATGAATAATGAGGCAAACATAGTATTTTGACATAGCAAAAATGTAACATTGTATACAGAGATTTAGACATATAACATGCAGATTGTTATAGAACCCCTTATTTGTCCTTCCACAGATCAAATATAGATATAAAATAGTTTATATAATCACGTTTGAAAGCTAGCAATGTAACTGTCAATTACTTTGTAATTTGAGGTGTTTCAGAATGTCAACGCTTCTAACACCCTTTTTATCAACCTCTTTTTAGAACCCTGTTTGTAAAGGTGATTTAGATCTGGAGGGTAGACCTTCTGTAAAATTGCTCCCCGTATGAAATGTTCTGTGGAGAAAGTGGCCCAGAATTTCTTGTTTTTATGTGTTATTGCTTCTGTCACTCCAGTAGATTTTATTAATTTTATAAGTCTTGACAAATGGCCTTTCCGCGGACTTTTGGAAGCTTGGCTCCCACACATCGTGAGTCAACGAACCCCCTGCTGGAATGTGTTTGCTGCTATTCTTACACAAAATATTGCTGAGTGGAGACTCTGCATCCTCCATGTAAAAGTATATATAGGGGTCATTATTCATATTTCTCTCTGAATAGCTCATTAAAAACTTTTAAATAAAAAAACTGCACATAAATGAGTAGAAAGCAGTACCCGCAGCTTTTATTGTTTGGGGGGGTACACAGGCTTTTTAAAGCTCAATAAAGTTCAATATTGATAGAGGGTTACATTAGTTCAGTTATTGAAATAACGCTTGATTGCCACAGCTAATTGAAGTGATTTGTCGTGGAATGAAAGTGTGCACATCCTGCAGCACCCAATACGGGGGAGTGACAACCTGGCCTAGCTATTGTGGAATGAGTTGGTTATAAAAGTAAGACCTGTAGTGGAGTCAGTAGGGCTGGGGTGGCACTGGCCCTCCCAGAAATCAGACAGCCCCCCTCAAATTTTGTTTGGCTCCGAGTTATGTCAGTCATAGACCATGGACTGAAAATTCTTCAATGCGCATAAGTTATAATTTTAGTAATTCAGAATAGGATTAATAATTAATACTTTATTGATCTCTGTGGGGAAATGCCTCCCTCAACTTGCCAACACGCTGGCTGTGAAGGGCAGCCACCCATAGCGGCACTCAGGGAGCTGGGGGTTAAGGGCCTCGCTCAAGGACCTGCAGACATGCTGAGGCTGGGCTTGAGCTGGTGACCTTATGACCGCAGGCACAGAGGCTTAGTCCAATGAGCTATACGCTGCCCCCCTCCCATCACAAAATGGGTATAATTTATAGCTGTCACTGTTACCCGATAATTTTAATTGATACTCTTTAATTTTCCTTCTTGATTACTTGGCAGTATGGTGAAAGGAAGACGGCACTTTATTTGCAGCGATAGAGTAGTTTTTTAGAGCAACTTTTTGATGATTTGAACCCAACAGACTATTGTGGTCCTTGTGATGTGACTTGTTGAATATGTGTGAAATGGCTTGTTGATATTAATCGGTCGTTTACCTGATTATTGATATAACAAACAAACAAACAAACAAATGAATAGCAGCTGCCATATATACCCTGTGAAAGGTGCCCCCGACTGCCCTTTTGCCCCTTTCAGGTGCTGTACTTCCACACCTCCCTCCGGCTCCCCAGCGTAGTGGCTGTCGTGGAAGTGGTGGCCGTGACCGATCAGGCCGATGGTTCCCACCACGCCCTGGGCTGTGGATTCGGAATTTTGCGCCTCTTTTCCGCAAAAGCAGACCCAGCGGAAGCCGTTGACTCCAAGGAGCCGAGAAGGTGAGTAGAATTTTAGGTCACGTGCTCCACGTCCCAGTTGTACTGTGTAGCTTTATTAGCATTTTGCTTTTTCTCCACTTGCTGAACCCCCCCCCCCCCCACCTGCTCGGCGGATGTGTGACTGCAGCATGTGATTTGCTGCCTTCAGGTCGGGCCATTCATGTTGCATGGAAGCAATGAGGTGAAATGAGAGATATTGATGAAGACTGTGCTCTTCTGTCTTTCTTCTGCCCCTTTTGAAGGCTGTGTCTGTACCACGGAAGCCCGAGGGCCCTGCTTCACCCTTCTTTGCACGAACCTGTCGAAAGTGAGTTACTTCCTGTTTTTGTTCCATCTCTGCTTATTATGAGAAGTTCTTTACAATATCATTAGAAGAGAAGTTGTAAGTGGCTTGGAATCTTTCTCTTTCTATCACTTGTTTTTATTAAACTATTTTAAAGTCATTTTATTTAATTGCCAGAATTTATGGGTGATGTTCATTTATGCATAGAATTATTTGTAATTCACTACCTGAAAGATGTATTGTCATGCCTGGAAACACCATAAAACATGGAGAGTCTGTGACCTAATCCATTAGCAGTATGATGAGGCTCCAGCTGCTTTGACGGCACTGCGGCGCCACAGTGGGCAGGAGGAGTGGCTCATTCAGCGCTCCCCACAAGTGGCTCCGTTATGTCTGAATTATTATAGTTTGTTTTTAAAGGTAAAAAGAAGGAAAAAAATGTCAGCCCGTGAATGCAAAGTTCTCCCTAGTGAAGTGACATTCTGTTAATTTGAAAAATAATTGGCCACGCCGGGTTGAAGAGCATCATGCTTGATTTCTGGGTGCAGGATCAAGGTCCATACCGATACGTGGGGTGAAAGAGAAGACTGCAGATATTTATGGGCGTATCAGGTGCATCACGAGTAATGCGATCGTGGTGTGACACGCCACCATTTTTCATAACGGTCCGTTTTTTCAGAACAAGTGTCTGCCTCTGAGGAGGTGTGTAGGAGAGCCTTCCTAAGCCAAGGCGGCTGCCAAAGACTTCAGAAGGGGTCAGGGGTTTGGAAAAAATGACTTTTAATCCTTATTTAACATTCACAGCAAAGGGGAGAGTACAGCTCCTGCCGTCTGGGGAAGATTGGCCAGATGAAGTCGGTGCTCACACTCCAGGCACTGCACTCGGTTGCGTTTGGCAGAGCAGGGAGGATGGAGCCTTGTCTGTCTTTCCCGGCGTGGGGGGTTTTTTGTGCTGTCTGGTATTTTTTGAGAAATATCTCAAAGCGTCCTTGAGTGATTCATGCATCATAGGGGTGTTTGCCATCACAAACTTTCCAATAATACAGAATCTAACCACAGTTCTTCAGTCAAAGCATGATTATGACATATAGGATGCCCTGTGTCAAGCATAAAATCTATAAAGAATAGAGAATGAATATGTACACCTCACGATACTGCCCAGAACAGTGTTTTTGCATAATAGAGTGAAATAGATTCATTGTACTGCATCCATTGTGTGGAAGTCTGACGTCACTGCATGAGCTCATTGATGCCCAGATATCAGGTTCAAATTTTACTCGTATTCATACCAAAATTCAAAATAAAATTTTTGGCTGCGTTTATAACATCTCCGTTTCTAGAAGAAAGGTAGTTGCCCTGACTTGGAAGTGTTTAGGAGCATTTACTTCTTATAAGAAAGGCAAGCACTGAAACATACACAGAACTGCATGATTGTTTTCTGACATTGCACACAAGAAGAACGTTAATTGTTATCTAGTGATTTTCTTGCAGTACGTCCAAATATAATATGGTTTTCAAATTATAGATCTGATGTTAGGAAACGGTTGTTAATGGATCTGAACTGTCCATCTCGGACATGTTTGCTTGTGAGTGTGAGACTCACACAGTCAAACACAAAGGGCAGTGTAGTGACGCTCGTTCATGGTTTCTGTGGGAGGATACTGGAAACCCACCTGAACACAGAGAGAACATGCAAATGTCATACCAGTTTATGCAGATAAAAATGGTTTCTTTTTTATTTGGACTACAGGGTATAATTGAATAATAGGCTGTGGTGATGGAGTTTTGATTTTTCACAGGAGTAACTGCAGGGTTCTAAACCAGACACATTTTATTATCTAAAAATGAAACATACATATGCATATTTCTCCTTTAAAAACTGCTCACTGAAATGGAAACGGGCAATAAAAACTGCATAAACTTCAGAAACTGTCATCATCAAACTTAACATAGAAGCATGTATGCGGATGGACAAGTTCCTTCCTGCTTAAGTACCTACTTATGTCTAACTCTTTTTTACTAATGTAGCACAACCAGGACCAGCTGTGCGCCTTTGATCAGGGGTAATAATCCGCGGGGGCAGGGGAGTTACCATGCCAGTGCAAAAAACCACACAGACCCTCACCTGCTCATACACAGACTGAAGGGGTATGCTGCTGAAATTTGGTAATTACATGTTATTCAGTGCTTTTTACCTTAGCAAGTAATTTGCACCAAATACTGCTTAATTTATTTTTCTTTTTCTGCCCTGGGGACAGAATGTCAAAGGTTCCTAAAACTCCTGTGAGCACTTTGGCATCAGCTGGAGGACTTTTTAATTTTCACAGTCTCAAAGAGCAGTGGAATCTCCAGGAATCAGGACAGTGGGTTCTCAATGGGATTGAAAACATTAATACAGGAACAAGCATGTGAAGTGTTGGCTCTTAGATCAGAAAAACTGTAGAAGTGTCCAGGTGGCATCCGTCTCTTTTCAAGGGCATTTCTAAAATGCGGAAGGCTGCGGATGTTTCGAGGGGTGAGATTGTAAAGGGAAGTTTGTGCCATGTGGATGTGGGAGTCTGAAAGCAATGGTGTACTTCTTGCCGTTTGCTCATTTACTTTAGAGATACAATTGTGTGTGATCCATACCACACAGGTGCCAAAAAAATCCCATCCCATCCCCTCCCATCCCATCCCCTCCCATTCCATCCCCTCCCATTCCATCCTCTGTTTTCTCTGCCCCATCAATGTGTTTGCCATCCTGAAGATGAGTTTCTCAAAGCGTGTAATAAGAAATATTCTATCTTATTTATGCTGGTGGTGAACAAAATTAACTCTGCATCAACTTTGCAAACTTTAAAAATAGCATAGCCACACCCACAGTGGAGTCATATTACAAAGTCACATTGCACAAACTCACCATTTGAAAAGATGTACAAAGGATTGCATTCACCATAAGTGTCCTGTGCCCACTGTTAATTTTAGCAGGGGATCTCTGACTTCTCGATCAAAAGTCAGATTTTTGTTTAGAGTCAGAGGTCCTGAACAATTTTCAATAGCAAAACGACATTTCATGAACTTCGATGAACTGACATTAACTTTCATTGTAGACATCAATATATATCAATAACAGAATTTTTTTTTTTAGAAATTTGGTGCTACTACACTGTATTTTTGTACTTCAGACCACATTAAGCCTTCGTATGTTAACCATATTGATTCATAAGGTGCATTATCAGCTAGGTCCGGATTAACTTGCGGTTCGGTCCAGACTTTGACAACGTTTAGACAGACTTCTGTAGCCTGAGGCTCTAGAGGACCAAGGTACGTGGCCACCAGATATGATGGAATTCTGCCAACTTTGACACTGGAGTGAGAAACGGCTGGAAACAGGGAGCATCTTTGCCAGATTTTTCCCCTCCCTGCAATGAATCCATGACAGTCGTCCCTGTGAGAGTTTAACGCCTTTCACTCTTTTCTAAGCACTCAGGGGTGACTCCAATTAACCTCTCTGTTAAGCTTACTGCCATAGAAGTTTAATGAAGTACAGGAATGCTGCAGGTTAAGAGGACTACAGTTTTCGCACTGATTCATAGACTATTAGCTTCTGACATTTTCCCCTAATTTGATGGAATAGTTTTACTGAACCATTTCTGTGAGTTAGAAGGATACAGATTATTGTGCCTGGCTATTCTGCCTTGTCATTTGCCTTTTCGCTCGAAAACTTCGCTTTGAGTCTTTCTTCCACAACGGCCAGCTGGACATGCATATCGGTGATCACTATTAGGGAGGGGAGGTAGCTGGATTCCTGTCCGGTACATTTGCCAGTCTGTTGGGCTTCCGGAGGGAGAGGGAGGAAAGAGAGGAACAGATAGGAAGAGTAAGGTGATTAGGGTGTGCCTAATGTGCTGTACTTTCACTGATGCTCTTGCCGCAGTGGACTGGCCATTGAGCTCGAGGTTGGGGTCCTAAACGAGGAAGTTATCTTTTTCTGCCGTTCATCATTTCTTCCCTCAAATCATCCCACACATCCATCTAGCATGTCCCTCTAATGGCTTTGTGTAGGTGAGTGGTATCGTTATAGTCCATCTTGGATTTTCATGTTTCTGGGCCTGAGAGAATAAGGGTTTCTGTTGACTGCATTATGCTGGAATGGGTTACAATACCGTGTTTTTCTGTTTATGGAGTTATCAGTAAAACATGGCTAGCTATCAGTCTGACAGTGTAACATTTCCACTTTAGCTAGAGTGCTGTTATTGATTTGGAATATTTTAAAAGCAGGGAGAAGAACAGTAAAACTATCTAATCATCCGATAAGATACTTCGTTTTTTGAGCTTTCGGCATGCTTCAAATGTCAAGCTGGCAATTGCAGAAAAGAGGCTATATTTACAAACAAGACAAAATATTAATCCAACAATAAGACCCTGTTTGAGTAGCGTCCAAGAAAGCATTGAGATAAATCTCACTTTCATTCTGTATTCTAATCAGTCTGAAACTTCTGCACAAGTGTCATCCATCCATCCATCCATCCATCCATCCATCCATCCTCTAACCACTTATCATGGTCAGGGTTGCTGGGAAGGGGGACTATTCTACCCCAGGCCGCACATGGCATAAGGCTGGGGTAAATCCTGGGTGGATTATATGGTGGATTATATGTCTTGGAAGCATTTCAACGATTTTGGCCTCTTGTATATGTCTACATTTTCATCAGTTATTAAAAAACCATAAGGATTGTTCTTATTTTGTCATGTTTCCACTGGATCACGTGTTGTGGTTCATCATCCCACTTGCAAGCACTTGACTTTGATGAGAAATTAAAAAAAATGTTCCTGTCATCCTCAGAATGATGCTGCTAAGGGACCGTGTGATAATGATGTGACTTACGGCTCCACACTGACAGAGCCTCTCGTCTCTGTCACTTCAAAGCGTGACCTCGATCCCTGGCACTGTCTGTGAGCGGCATGTTTCATTCCTGCTGCTCAGCACAGATTCGGGCTGTGAATATGGGTCAGCATCTTCCTTTGCCTGCCCTTTGCTCCCTCACACCTGCTTTATCCTCCAGCTGAGAGCAGAAGAGAGAGCAGAGATGTGTGGGGAGAGGAGGGGAGTGTTTGTCAGGGGGATCAAATGCAGACACAACGCCCAGTCTGACTGGTGGTGTCTGATGGCATCGGCAGAGACCATTATAATATGATGACAACAGGACTGGTGTTATTTTAGAATTTAGTGATCAGTGGTCATTGTTGACACACCCCTGATACGTTTGTTGAATGGTGCTACGACTTGATCATTTGGCATAGTGACAGGAGTTCAAGGAGGTTACTTTTGATGTGGAAACGAGGTTGCGGTCTTGTGTAATAACTTAAGGCGTGTTTAACGGCAGGCTTGTCTTTAAGTCAAAACCCGGCCGATGTTTTTCATCCATGTAGTTACCCTCATTTCTGAAAACCGGGTTACTTTCTGTATTGTTAGTTGTGTTGAAGTGAGACCATTACACACTATTTCTTTTAACCGTTGCAGTCATTGATAAAAGATTTTTTTTCATTTTCTTTACAATTCCCTTATTGCTGTGTTCATACGGATTAAAATATTTGCAACACTTAGCAGTAAATTCTACCACCTGCTTTCTTGTGACCTCTTTTCCTGTCAGCACGAATGGAGTATTTTTATCATAGCGACAGGTTATTGCCGGTTACTAAGAGTGATATTTTGTTGCCTGTGTCACTTTTATGTCACATGTGATATATATTCTAGGCGTTTCATAATGTGCTTAATATTGACATGTTATCGTTAATGTATGTTGTTATTATTGGCACGATGGTGGGATGCAGTGCACTGGAATTTGACTTGGGGGGGGGGGGGGGGTGTCCTCTACTTCCCAGGATAGGCTGAAGGATCACTGAACTGCATGGATGGTTATGGAAGATGGATGGATTTCTATATGGTTTTATTGCACTTATTGCTTCAGTTTCTTCATTTTGATCCGGGGTAATGTGCCTCGAACCCTGTGGCAGCGTGAGCCAGACTCCTCTGTTGCTGTTTCTATCAGAAAACCAGCTGATGCTGCCCATGGACGGCGCCTGCCTGCACTGCGGCCTGCAGCCACACCCCCCGCTGGAGCTGGTCACGGCCCTCCTGCCCCAGAACCTGCTGGTGTCCGGCTCCGAGCCCATCCCAGGGCTCGTAAGCTCCACTGACAGCAGCGGTGAGGGTCCTGTTGCTGCTCTGTTGTTGGTGACAAGTTTACTGTGTCGCACTTTTTTATGGTTCCTTAAATGCCTCTTGGGCCCGGCCTCGTGTGTTCTAACAGGGACTTAAGAACAGCACTGTCTCAGGAGCCTATAGATAATAAGCTGTTGCTATACATTTAAAAATGTTTAGACAACCATTAAAAAATGCTTTCATTTACTCAGACAGAAGGCAAGAGGAGAGAAACTATAATTGTGTGTAGATCTGAGTATTTTTATTAAAGTAAAACATTTTCATAGTCTGCTAGCATCTATTTGAATATTTTATGTGCAATAAAACTAACGTTTTTCTTTTTTTCTTACTTGGTGGGTGGATCATGAGCAGTTTCCTTTTATGGAAGGAAACTTTGGAAGAAAATAATTGTCGTCTTAGCATTGTGGATGCATGAATTCACCCTTAATGCTTGTTAGGAAATAATTACAATTTTTGACTACACTCTGAAATTCTGCGTATGGAGTTTTGGGGCTCTGATATGTCTCATTTTACCAAAATCCTGAGCAATGTGTGTGAACTATACAGCCCTGTAATAAAGGCGATCTTATAACTGGGTACTTCTGTTTTACAGGCAAATTATTTGCATGTACACATTCACATATGTTTATTTAGCCCACACTTTTGTCCAAAAACGAAGGCAGATCAATAGCATATGGCTGTCAAGTGGCAGTTTAGGTTCGAGGATCCAGTGAGGGCCCAGCAACAACAAGTTCACATTGAAACCAGAGCTAAACAACATGTTACAAAACAACATGTTACAAAACACCATAAAAGCTGTTCAAATCAAAACCCCGCAAGTTCCTACTAGACAAGTGCAAAATACGAGAGCATTGAGTGTTGCCAAACGTATGCACATGCCAGTGATGCTTTCAGGGATTAATTGAAGGTTGAGAGCAACTGCGATGACCAGATGTGGATAGGTAACTTGTTCCACCACTGGAACAAAATGTCAAGGTATTTACTGCCTGCCATCTTGAGTTTAAAGGAAGATGAATGTTCTCTTTTGCCATATAAAGCTTTTTGGGGAGTTGTCACTGTAATAGTCGAATTAAGTCCAGGATAAAATCAGTCTCGCTGTCCTGGAGTGTTTAACTGAGTGTGTAGATAACGATGTGTTGACAGTTCTACTGCTTCGTGGGGAAAAATGTACTTTAAAATAACTCATTAGCATTTTCGTACTGTTATTGAAGTGGGGGCTTCCAGTTTGTCTGTGATGCAGTGTGAGTGTAGTAGCTCTGTGTACTATTTTACGTTTCATTCACTGGGTTTTCTTCAGTCTGCATTCTTATTTTGATTGTTTTACCAGTAACACCGTGATGTACCTGTGGTGTAATTATATATAATTGCTATTTGTGTTATAGCACACAAAAACAACATTGATTATCAATCAAGTGTTTTTATCTGAAACATGAATAATTAATTAAACGTATTCATTTAGCATTCATCTAATTGAATGGCAAATTTATATGCATTGGGTCACAATAAGCAGTGTCCTGAATATATTATTTTTCTGGATGTGGGACACAGGGGTGACTGACTGTCATGCCCCACGGTGGCCTTGGGAGTACAGGACGCTCTTCTCATATGTGAACTGAGTCATTGTCTCAACGGGTGTAGGCTTGAGAGACCAAGTTGCAATTCATTTGCTTTTCCACCAAATGAATTTCATCTAATTAATGGTTTTGATGTTTTGAAATGTTTCAGAATATGAAGTGTGTATTCACACTGTGTTAGTGTTTATCTGGGTGAATAGTCTGATAGAAAATCAGCTCGGCTGATTATTGAAATAATTACAGAGATGACAAGCACTGATTTAGTCGCTACAAAGAAATAGCATATTTAAAAATTTTGCCACAAGTCAAAGCCAATAATATTTTTTTCTTGACCTTATGTTTATCTTTGAAGAGTGTTAAACAATTGATCAATGGATTTTAAAAGGTGCAGCAGTCCATAGCCATTGGGCATGTCACAGTGGCTCATTGGGGGCTGTCTGTAGGGCACTAAATTTGTCAGGGAGATTAAACCCTCGGTGTAAAACGCAAAGCCCCCTTTATTGTTTTTTTCAGTCCATCAGGAGGGGCAGCAGGGAGAAGCCAGGCACCTTAAATTGGCTGACACAAGCCAGAAGTGCCCAAAGTCACCCTCGCTTCCGTGGGACCTGAGCGAGATGCGTAACTTACGTTCCTGCAGCCCCTTGTTGTTGATGGTGGTTTGAGCAGAACAGAGAAATATCTTCTGAAAAAGACAGGGAACCGGCCAGAAGTTTTACTGAAAAACAAAATGCTCCTCATTCAGATGCCGCATGAACTCTTCCTCTTATATGCTCAGCATATATGGAAGGTTTATCCTAAATCCTTAATGACTGACTTGCACCATTAATGTAGTCTCTTAGAGAGGAACCTTAAAATATTTTTTTAAATATCCCTGTGATAAACAGTGTGTTCGCATTAGACTGTGGCTTGGCCTTGTTAATATGTGTAATGTATTAACATCAGGCAGTGTTTTACAAATTGTTGCACATTTGTGTTTTCAGAAATTGAAATAAAATTTGTTTTTATTTATTTTTAATGTATTGTGACCCCGTACTGGAAGCTGTATAAAAGCATGGGTTATCTTTATTAGAAGAAAATGAATGCGTATCAGAATGAGAAATAAAATATTGGTT